GTAGGTGAGTGAGTGAGGTAGGTGAGTGAGGTAGGTGAGTGAGTTGAGTTGAGTTGAGTGAGAGTGAGAGTGAGAGTGAGAGTGGATGAGAGTGAGTGTGAGTGAGAGTGATGAGTGTGAGTGCGAGTGGAAGTGAGAGCGAGTGTGAATGTGGTGTGAGTGTGAGCATGTGTGAGTGAGTGAGAGTGAGAGTGAGAGAGTGAGAGCACAAAGTGCTGCGCCTGCGCCGAAATCTGCACTGAGGTTCACGAAGTACTGTGCCTGCCACGAAATCTGCACTTCGAGGTTTCAAGTGCTGTGCCTGCCACGAAATCTGCACTTCGAGGTTCACCAGTCACCAAGTGCTGTGCCTGCCACAAAATCTGCACTTCGAGGTTCACCAGTCACCAAGTGCTGTGCCTGCCACGAAGTCTGCACTTTGAGGTTCACAAAGTGCTGAGAGGCATGAATGTACTGTAAATAGCAGCTAAGTAGCCGATCTAAGCATCAGCTGGAAAAACACACCAAAGCCATACATGGTTGCTAGAAGGTAAAGCACAAGTTATATGCCTTCTAGGTAATTACAGTGGACATATATACATATAGTTATATATATACATGTGTCTATTTATTCTGTTTGCCTCAAGGCTCATGTGAGCGTGAATGAGCTCACCCAATGAATTCGTCGTGCTGGCACTTCTCCCCTGCCTTGCCTTGCCTCAACTCGCTTTGTAAAGTATGTACAGCAAGGGAGCATTATTTTTCGGTGTGACTTGTGAGGGACCCAAGGATCCGCATTTTCGATTAACTTCTGAATCGAAGTCAGCGAAAAGATGAACGTCTCAACTTCGAAACGTCAAAAGTCTGGCCAGTCTGACCAACGGTCCTGGTAGTTCTTACAGGTCTTCCTAAGTTGTTGTGAAGATAGTGCCAGATTCAGGGTGGAGATATTGAGGATATATTGTCGGCCTCGAATTGTTCAGGATGTGTGCGGCAAATGTCTCTGCCGCAACACTGGACACCGGGGGGAAGAGGTTTGCTCTCAACCCACGGGTTCACCGCCACGGAAACCAGCGACCGTGGCGGTCGTCAGGGGAAGCGAAAAGCTGCTACGCTGCCGGTGCGGACGAACCGATCAAGGTCTCCATCCATTGATGGAGAGGCATCCGCGTCCGTTGCTGGACGTACGGAAGGTTGAAGTGGGTTGCTGGGCGAATTGAAAGGATCCTCAGGGGACACTGTGTTTGGAGCCCCAATATGGTTTTGTCCTATCAATGCGATTGCATTGTGCCATTGGCTCTAGGAATAGCACTGAATGATACTGAATACATTATATATAGCAAGTGCATGTTGCCACTTTGAGACAGGCCTGAAAGTTTCTAACGCTTTGGATCATTAAGGCAGGAGGATAAATTGTTGGCAATAATGTCCCAAGTCCCCAAATGTGGGGTTAGTTTACGTAGAGCAGGGAACAGAGGAGGGAGCAAAAGCAAACACTGGACAGAAGAACGAAAGGAAAGGACTAATCATCAGTTGTTTTGTGCGACAGCAGTCTTTTCCAAGCGGTACAGGTACTGTGTTCTTTTGCCGGCAAGATGTTTGCAACTGTTCCATGGGGTTGGTGCAAAGGTTGCAAAGAAAAGAAGGAAGAAGCGACGCGGCGACGAAGCAAGAAGAGGCTGTATACAATATGTAATAGTAATATTAATATTGAGTCCGGGTGTTTGTCAGAGTGCGCTGTTTTATGATTTTTAGTAGTGTTATAACATAATAGTTCTTTAAATAGATTTCCTTTAAAATGTTTGTTTGTTAAATAAACTATATTTTTAACAATTTGTGCCTTAATAATGGACGATTAAATCATTCTAATGTTTGATACTGTTTTCCTAATTTTGTTGCAATGTTTTCTACTGTATA